TCCCGTTTTCCTGAGATAAATTCTCGTTTTCCTGAGATAAATTCTCGTTTTCCTGAGATAATTTTTCGTTTTCCTGAGATAAATTCTCGTTTTCCTGAGATAATATTTCGTTTTCCTGAGATAACTCCCGTTTTCCTGAGATAAATTCTCGTTTTCCTGAGATAATTTTTCGTTTTCCTGAGATAAATTCTCGTTTTCCTGAGATAATATTTCGTTTTCCTGAGATAAATTCTCGTTTTCCTGAGATAAATTCTCGTTTTCCTGAGATAATTTTTCGTTTTCCTGAGATAATTCCCGTTTTCCTGAGATAAATTCTCGTTTTCCTGAGATAAATTCTCGTTTTCCTGAGATAATTTTTCGTTTTCCTGAGATAAATTCTCGTTTTCCTGAGATAATATTTCGTTTTCCTGAGATAAATTCTCGTTTTCCTGAGATAATTTCCGTTGTAAAATGAACAGTTAAAATGAATTGAAAAAATACAATTTTCTTCTAATTTTATAACGTTTTGGCATCTGAATGCCCCCCCCCCCCTGAGTACGATGTCATATATATTTACTGTAAATTGCGAGCGAGCGAAGAGCGCAATTAACAAATAAAAGACACTAGTCTTACTCGTACAAATTTAGGTACAATACCAATTTGGATGATAAATCTATCTTGATTCAAGAACACTTTATTAACAGACTGCCCGATTACAATAGGGGACAGCCCACAAGGCCGACGGCCGTCAGCCTAGGGCCTAAATCCAGTTTTAGGGGGGTATTCAGCAGGCGCGGATCCAGGATTTCTTAGGGGGGGGGGGCCAAATTTGAAATTTTGCGAGCCAAATATTGGTACGTAATGGTGACGAACAGTGACGTAATGCGGGGGGGGGGGGTCGGTGCAGGGAGGGGCGAGTTTCCCCCTCCCTCCTCCGCGAAACGCGGAAGCTTTGACGTTTCATTAAATTATTAGAGAAAAAAGACGATTCGTTGTACCGTTTTCGAAAATAATTCTCGTCTGAATTTAGTTTTCCCCCTCCCGCGCGAAGCGCGGAAAATTTTACGATTTATTAAATTATTAGAGAAAGAAGACGATTCGTTGTCGAGTTCTCGACTCTTTATCCTCGTCTGAATTTAGGTTCCCCCCTCCCGTGCGAAGCGCGGAAAATTTTACGATTTATTAAATTATTAGAGAAAGAAGACGATTCGTTGTCGAGTTCTCGACTCTTTATCCTCGTCTGAATTTAGGTTCCCCCCTCCCGTGCGAAGCGCGGAAGCTTTTACGATTTATTAAATTATTAGAAAAAGGAGACGATTCCTTGTCGAGTTCTCGACTCTTAATCCTCGTCTGAATTTAGGTTCCCCCCTCCCGTGCGAAGCGCGGAAGCTTTTAAATTTCCTTAAATCATTAGAGAAAGAAGACGATTCGTTGTACCGTTTTCGAAAATAATCCTCGTCTGAATTTAGATTCTCCCCCAACCCCCTCCTCCCGCGCGAAGCGCGGACGCTTTTACGTTTCATTAAATCATTAGAGAAAATAGACGATTCGTTGTACCGTTCTCGAAAATAATCCTCATCGGAATTTAGTTCCCCCTCCATCCCGCGCGAAGCGCGGAAGCTTTTACCTTTCATTAAATCATTAAAGATTCGTATTACCGTTCTCGCCTCTGAATCCTCGTCTGAATTCAGGTTCCCCCCTCCCGCGCAAAGCGCGGAAGCTTTGACGTTTCATAAGATTATGAGAGAAAGAAGACGATTCGTTGTACCGTTCTCGATTCTTAATCCTTGTCTGAATTCAGTCCCCCCCCCCTCCCCTCCTGCGCGAAGCTTTGACGTTTCATTATATTATTAGAGAAAGAAGACGATGCGTTGTATCGTTCTCTATACTCTTAATCCTTGTCTGAATCAGGGGCCGTCTTAGGGCCCCTGGGGGGGGGGTCGAGGCGGCGGAGCCGGCCCCGGAAGCTCAGGGGTTTTAGGCGTTTAATTAAGGTCAGATGAGCATTTTTTTGTATACCTTATTATTTTGTGAGACTGGCACGTCACTATTTGGCGTGGGGTCCAGGGGGCGGAGCCCCAAAATATCAGGGGTTTTAGGCATTAAATTACCGTCAGATGAGCATCTAAGGGCCCGCCGTAGGGCCCTAGGTGAAATCCAGGGGGCAGAGCCCCTGGAAGCTTAGGGGTTTTAGGCATTAATCACGGTCAGATGAGCATATTTTGATGCCTCATTATTTTTCAACACTAGCAGTTAACTATTCTTTCTTTCTTGCTCTCATTCTATTTTATTTCTCTTTAATATACTTTTTCAAAAAAGTAGGGGGGGGGGGGCTCGGGGCTCCCGATCCCCGCCGTACCTCGGGCCCTGACAAGTAGGAATCAACTAAAAAGTGAGGAAAAATCTCGGAAATTATGTCATTTCAGCATTATTAAAGTAATCCACCGTTGTGGAATTAGAAATAAACCACGTTTGAATTTGATTTCCCCCAAGCCCCCCCTATCAGTACGCCAGTATCTCCTCTTTTCCTTTTTTCTTTCCCTTTCCTTCCTTCTCTCTTATTTTTTTGATTGGGGGGGGGGGGGGTCAACAGCCTGGGAGGCAAGGCCCTTTCGCCTTCCCCAATCTCCTTCTTCCCCCTTTTCTTTTCTTCTTCCTCTTCTTTCTTTCCCTTTTTCTCTTCTTTCTCTTTCCCTTCTTTTCCTTTCTTCTCTCTCTTTTTTTTTTTTTTTTGCGGCGGGGGGGGGGGGGGGGGGGGGGCCAAGACCCGCTCGGCCCCCCCCCCTGGATCCGCGCCTGGTATTCAGTTATTCACATCACCTTGTAGGTCTCAATTATTGTCGAAATTCGATATATTTATGAAGATAATTATCAATTCCAAAAGGGCCTTAAAGGGGAAGGCCACCCTAAGAATATCTATATTTTAATAAAAGGAGACAAATAAGACAAAGTGATTAATAAAAGTTTGAGGAAAATCGGATATGAAATAAGAAAGCTATGAAATGTTCAAGTTTTAAACAAATTAAAATCGATCAAGAAAATCGGGAAATCTGTGATCATATAACAAACGATGTCTGGGGTTCGAAAGTTATGCAACATGTATTGGTCGGGAATTATCTCAGGAAAACGAGATATTATCTCAGGAAAACGAAATATTATCTCAGGAAAACGAGAATTTATCTCAGGAAAACGAAATATTATCTCAGGAAAACGAGAATTTATCTCAGGAAAACGAAATATTATCTCAGGAAAACGAGAATTTATCTCAGGAAAACGGGAATTATCTCAGGAAAACGAAATATTACCTCAGGAAAACGAGAATTTATCTCAGGAAAACGAAAAATTATCTCAGGAAAACGAGAATTTATCTCAGGAAAACGGGAATTATCTCAGGAAAACGAAATATTATCTCAGGAAAACGAGAATTTATCTCAGGAAAACGAAAAATTATCTCAGGAAAACGAGAATTTATCTCAGGAAAACGAGAATTTATCTCAGGAAAACGGGAGTTATCTCAGGAAAACGAAAAATTATCTCAGGAAAACGAGAATTTATCTCAGGAAAACGAAAAATTATCTCAGGAAAACGAGAATTTATCTCAGGAAAACGGGAGTTATCTCAGGAAAACGAAAAATTATCTCAGGAAAACGAGAATTTATCTCAGGAAAACGAGAATTTATCTCAGGAAAACGGGAGTTATCTCAGGAAAACGAAAAATTATCTCAGGAAAACGAGAATTTATCTCAGGAAAACGAAAAATTATCTCAGGAAAACGAAAAATTATCTCAGGAAAACGAGAATTTATCTCAGGAAAACGGGAGTTATCTCAGGAAAACGAGAATTTATCTCAGGAAAACGAGAATTATCTCAGGAAAACGGGAGTTATCTCAGAAAACGAAATTATCTCAGGAAAACGAATTATCTCAGGAAAATCTCGAGAATTTATCTCAGGAAAATCTCAGGAAAAATTATCTCAGGAAAACGAAAAATTATCTCAGGAAAACGAGAATTTATCTCAGGAAAACGGGAGGTTATCTCAGGAAAACGAAAAATTATCTCAGGAAAACGAGAATTTATCTCAGGAAAACGGGAGTTATCTCAGGAAAACGAAAAATTATCTCAGGAAAACGAGAATTTATCTCAGGAAAACGAGAATTTATCTCAGGAAAACGAGAATATATCTCAGGAAAACGGGAGTTATCTCAGGAAAACGAAAAATTATCTCAGGAAAACGAGAATTTATCTCAGGAAAACGAAAAATTATCTCAGGAAAACGAGAATTTATCTCAGGAAAACGAAAAATTATCTCAGGAAAACGAGAATTTATCTCAGGAAAACGAGAAAAAAAATAATTCTCCATGTCACTTCCGGGGCTCCGTAGAATTCCCTTCCCAATGGTGTAAAAGAAATAGGAAACTATGATCATTTTAAGAGGAAATTAAAGGAATACCTAATACTTGACAGTCAGAGAAGAGAAGTGAATGACATGTTATATGATTGAAATTTGTATTCTTCTGTCGGTTCATACTTTTTCATGTTGTATATACTTATGTTTTCGTACGTTATAGAATTTCTACAAATTCATCATTATTTTCCTCTTCTTCCTTCTCCTCTTTTTCTTCTTCTCCTTCTTCTTTTTCTTCTTGTACTTAATATCATTTCTATCATCAGTTTAATGTTGTTATTATTATTATCTTTAATAAGTAGTTCTTTTAATTTTCTTATCTGTCTGTAAATATTACTATTTTAACTTATTAATTTTATACATGTCTGTAAGGGACCCCACTGGAAATAAGCTCTCGAGCTTTCGTGGGTTATCCTGTTCAAGCTGACTTTTTTTTGATCTGTTATTATTGTATATTGTTGTATGTTGGAAGCTTGTCGAATAAAAATCAATCAATCTACAAATACAATCACAATGCAAATGCAGACACAAATTTCAATAGGCGGAACAACGCACTAATGAATGGGTTCATGGGTTGGTTGTTTAAAAACGGATTCATTCGAAAGAAATTACTTACGATCAGCTTGTAAAAGAACTTCTGTTATAAGTACAGGAAGAGATGGTCCAAAGGTTTCAACACAATACTGTGGTGTTTCTTCAATTACTTGGAAACTCTGCATGATGATGTCTGAGAGGACTCCGAATTTAAGAAATTACCCGCGTCGCACCATCGGGATATAGAACACATACGAAATCCGTCGATGTTGACGCGTGAAACAGTATCTTTCTGTATCCGAAATAAATCAATGAAAAAGCGTGGTGGATTGATCTGATGGTAATCTTGAGACACTGATTTGTAACTTTATTGTACTAGGTCATAACTCGTGCCCTGGGGTTCATGATAGAGATTATTGGGGTCAATTAACGTCAATTGAAAGGAAGTATATTACGAATTCATTATTTCAATAATAATAATAATAATAATAATAAAAATAATGAAAACAACAAAAACAATAATGATAATAATTACTACACTGTAAAAAAATAATAGTCGAAATAACTCAATAAAATTGAGGAAAAGAATTGCCTTATTTTTATTTAGTAAATATTACCTACGGCATCTTAAGTAGAATTTAATTATTTTGCTGAATAAATTTTTACTCAGTTAAATCGAGTTACATTAACGTAAATAATTTAAGTATTGTAATCATTTTAGATAATTAAAAAAAAAGCTATGATAGGATTACATATTGCACGATTTGGTACCCATCTAATCTAACAAGTAACATCCACTATTCATTCATTCATTCACTACTTCTATTTAAGATTTAACCGTATATATATCTAACACCATCACAAACTATTACATACGCTTCAATTCGACACATATTGAAAGGCTCCAAATTGTATATATACTTGATCGTACAGAAGCGGATCTAGAGGGGGGTTGGGGGGGGGGGGGGTTGCAACCCCCCCCCCCCAAAAAAAAAAATCTTTTTTTTAAAACTTGTAATTTTATTTTATTCTATTTCTATGTATTTAATTCATTTATTATTATTATTATTATTATTATTATTATTATCATTATTATTATTTCTTTTTGGGGGGAGGGGGGGGGGGGGGGTTGGGCGAACAAATGTCACAGAGTCCCTTGCCCCCCCCCCCCCCCTCATCAGCTTTTTTGAGGACACGGGCCACCGCCGAAGTGAAAAAAGAAAGAAAGAAAAAAGAACGCACGCTGGAGAGAAACCCTTTCAAGTGCAAATATTGTGAGAAGATTTTCAACTCATCTGGTAACTTAACCACACACATGATAACTCTGGATATAACTGTGTATTTAACTGTTACTTGATTTAAAAAGACGTTATCATGCACTGCTTTTTATGGTCTCCATTGTGTTAATAGATGCCAGGAAAACATCACTTACGGGGTTCAAATAAACACCCCCCAAAAAATCGGCTCGCCGCTTCGCGGCTCGTGGACGATGCTCTGCATCGTCATTATTTTGGTCAACCCCCCCTTAGCAAAAAGCTAGATCCGCCCCTGTCGTAGCATCTTAAAAGGAAAATTGGTTGACAATTTCCTGAAATATTAAGTTTTGAATTGTTTTGAACTGGGTAACAATTAAAAATTGTCTTGTCTTTGCTTAGCCATGTTAAATGAATTAGTAAATGTTTTTAAGTCCTTAAATTTTCATTCAACCACAAAAAAAGAATTGTTTTATTTAAAAAAGAGTTTAATTTGGTCTTAATGAATATTCATAAATTATGTAAATATTTCTATTACGCACTGCATCGGTCCTTACTTTAAAAAGATAAGACTAATCAACATAAATTGTTTGAGTAATACGTATAATTTCTGATTTTGAGTTAAAATTACTAAATTAATACAAGCTGAAATTACTTAAAGATTTTACTTAAATATTCCACGTATGTTCTACTAAATTGAAAGTTTGAGTTAGCAAGACTTAAATTTAGTGCGTAAGTGGCAAAACTAATGTTTTCAAGTAAATTCTACATGGAAAAAATACGTAAAAATTACCAATGAACAAATTCTTTTTTTTACAGTGTAGACTAGACCTAGACCGATAGCAATAATAATAAAGATGCATGGTGATGACTGATGATGGTAATAATAACAATTATAATGATATCGATCATTTAGGTGAGCCACGATAGCGCCTACCCGACATCAATAAATCGACGAATCCTCCATAATTATATTTCGAAGATGAGGCGTGAGAGGGATGAATTCAGCTCTGGGCGATTCATCTACTTGTAACCTTGCCGTTACATGCAATTCGTCCCTATTGGCGGAAGATACTTGTCCTGACCACTAAATTGGTAATTCAAATTTTGGAACCAGTTATACCCTTTTCACACAGAGGTCCCATCTTCCATAACACCAAGTGATACCCCGGACGGGGCCTGGAAAGCGCCCATGGCGTAACTCTCAGATGGCCTGAGGTAAACCAGTTTGTAATCCCCCGTAAACTGTGTATAGTGGGCTAAGGTTTTGCACTGGTATCATAGGGTAATACCCTGGTAAAATCTTGACATGCATGGTGGCAGACAAAAGCTACCCGGGTAGAGGTTTGTAAAAAGTACATCAAGAAGAATGTGAATAGAAGATGAGAAAAAGATATAGCACGAGAAGTAAAGAATTCAGAAAGCAAAAAGTAACTACATGTACATGTACATAAGGAATGAAACAAAATTGGGGAAATATAAATTATAAAGATATTGTATGGAAAGATCGGATAGAAACAAAAGAAGATAAGAGAGGGAAACAAAGAGGCATAAAGAAGAAAAAACAAGTGAATTTATACACTCTAAAAACTAAAATGTTAAATGTCAATTTAAAAGGGCCGAGGGGTGACCACTCTTTCAAAATGTCAGATTTTTTTTTTTAACCTGCTAGATTCAACCTATAGTGTTGGATCCAGCATGTTCAAAGTGTTAATCTACCATTTTGAAAGAGTGGTCACTCTTCGGCCCTTTTAAATGGTGATTTAACAAATTCAGTTTTTAGAGTGTACGAGAAATACATAAAGAAAGACGGGAAAGAAGGCCACATGAAGAAATATTCGGCATATAAGAAAAATGCAAGGCAAGTAAGAAAAGAAAACAAGAGATTGATGACATAGAAATAAACAAAAAAAATTGGGGAAAAGACTTCAGAGGTCGAAAAAATAATAAATACATAAGAAAAGAAGGAAAAGAATACGACGTTAAGAAAAGCGAAACCCATATCAAGCCTTATCGTGTAGAATTTATATAATCCATATAATACATGGAAGCGTCATGGTGTAGTGGTTCTGACTCTCGTCTTTCAATCATAAGGTCGTGAGTTCGGATCCCACTCCAGGACGTTACTTTCCTTCAGCAAGAAATTCATCTAACATTGTGCTGAACTTCACCCAGGTGAAGTAAATGGGAACCTGGGGGTGTTCCACAAAGACTAAGACCGACTTTAAGTTGGACTTAACTATGGCAGGCCGTTCATGCCACTATTTTCTCTCATCATTGACTGGCATTGGTTTCCAAAGGGATGTACCAATTGTGGTTACAGATCTACAGAATTAACATTCTTTGATAGTTCATTATTGTAGGGAAAAATATTATCTAAAGATCATAATTGAAAGACCAATGGTGAGAGCAACTATTGGCATGAACGGCCTGCCATAGTTAAGTCCAACTTAAAGTCGATCTTAGTCTTTGTGAAACATCCCCCTAGTAGTAATTATTTCCTTGAAACGCAGAGCGCTTAACATCTAATTATGCCTGGTTTGTAGCTAGTTTGAAGGGGTTTATTGCCGTTTGGTCTATTGAACCGGTTCACCTACTATACCCAATTGGTCTATTTCCACTGGGTGTACACCAAGCCCGTCTACTCTCCATATGGTCTAATAATCATTCAATCATAATCATCATGATTGTTATATCTTATGGATAGAAGACAAAATAAGCATTAGACATACTGGGAATTAGCTAGGCAGACTAGAAATTAGACTTAATGACCAATAGCACAAAATAATGGTTAGTAAACTTATTGGAGATAAGACCAAATGAAAATTAGACCAAACAGCTATTAGCCTGAATGGTCATTAGACCAAAGTAGACGAAGACTAAACGGCAATAAATTCACCGTTTGTAGGCAAAGACAGAGAGCTGCCCAAGTGATCGTACAGCTAGACCAACTATTGGATTTAAAATGTATGGATCGATTATATCACACGGCAGATGCAGTTATAGTGTGTGGAACAACGTTTAATAAAAGTTATTTTCAATACTAAATTACGATAGTTTTTACAATTCACTAAAATCGTTGCATTTTATAGATGAAATAGAATTTTAGAATTCGTTATTGATATCAAGCTTTATGAAACGAGACCTGAGTTGGAACAAAAATATTAACCTGGAAAGAGTACACAACTATGTGATGAACTATATATAACAAAACGTGTACCATTCACGCCACGAAGTACTGCGTTGAAAAGGGTCTTGAGAAATCTTCATAGTCGAATGTATGTGTACTGTGTTCGTGGATCTCACTTCTGGAGATTATCTTCTGTTTTCAATCTCAACGATTCAACAACTCAATAACATATAGACGCTCCCTGCACGTTGATTGTGATAATGCAGTTTGCTATTATCGAAGAGGGAGACAAATAACGCGAAGGCAATTTTTACATGTGGGACACAAAATTTCATAATTCCTCGTAGCCTTCAATATATGTAAGTAAATTTTTTTTCCTTCCTTTTCTCTTTTCAATGTAATAATACCGTATACAAATAGGCTGATTCGTGAAATCACTGCAGTCCACTCTTTTATCAATATTTTTTGATAAGAATACAAGCATTTTCGTAATTATCTTCAAAAATATGGTAATTTCACGCGCCAATATGAAATTATAGCATTCTAAAGGGTCAACAAATTTACAATTCTCGTTGCTTTGCTCCATATCGTGCCTCAATATATTGCAGTGTAAAAAATAGAAGAGCGCTATTTGAAAGGTTCAGCATCTGAAAGAAATCTTAAATTTCTGTTACCTTTGCTAAATTGTTAATTGACTATATTCGCTGATATTCCTCTGTAGAGAGTTCGTTAATTTTGCGCTCAAGTTCGGAAGAAGAAGTGAATAGTAAACCATTTATCGATGTTTATAATTCACAAATCTACCGCTCTGTTGCAATCGTGTGCATAAGCCTATACTAGCCAGGCCAGGGGGGTTAGATCCTCACAGATTTGT